ATTTGAACTCCATCCTTTTACCAGGAACAAATGATAATATGAAAAAAAAACCCTTTTAACTTCCTAAAATTGTGCCCACCCAGGGAAAATGCCATTTGTCAATCAGTCTCAAGTGGCAAATTATTGGGCTGGTCTCAGGGATACTCCTGGGAGTTTTAAAAGAGACTCTACAATCCACTCTTGGTTTATTTTCATTAAAGAAACAGTAATGCAGTTGGTTGCAAATTCTGACTATTATTTTTCCCTATGCATTCACACAAAACCAAACAGCAAAACATTGGCTCAATTCAGTTTGCTATGATACCCTTGTGTCCTGACTTTTGGATAGCAAGTAGCTTTGTATAATGGAAAGAACATGTGGAAGGAGAATAATTAGAGTTAGGAGTATAACTTTCGTAAGTAGGACAGTATTCTTAAGGTTGTTGCTCAATTGAAAGAAAAGTAAAAATATGCTTTATTTAGGAAAACATGGGGATAGGAAAACTGGGGCTACTGAAGCCAACCTACTGCTAAGAATCTGTCATGTAGTCATAAGCATTTGAACCACACAAATCATAGAGAGAAGAGAAAGAATGTACTGAATAAGGAAGTGACAAAAAATCTGAAAATATCAGTTTAACTAAGGTGACCAACCGTCCTCCTTTAGGAAGGACAGCCTTTTGTAAGTTCTGTCCTCCCTCAAAAAGTGTCCTCCTACATGTCCTCCTTTTCGATATTTGAAGACTAATCTGCAGGGCTTTTTTTTCTCATAGAACGCTCAGAATGGCATTCTGGTACCTTTTTTGATGTTTTTTTTTCAACTTTTGCATGAGCTGTTCTATTTCCCCTATCGGCTTTTGAAAGCCAATAGGAATTGCTGCTGAGCGTGCCAAAACATCCAGCCGGCAAACTTTGCACATGCAAGTTGTCTGCAGCGAAGGTGAATTGGCAGGAACTTTGCATCCCTCCTTGCTACCCAACTACACCATCTCCTAGTTAGTCCCAAAGATACCTAGAGGAAACTAACTTCCATTTAGGGATGGAAAAATCAAAGAAGAGGAAATACCATTTCAACGATAAATTGAATAAGGAATTTCCATTCATCACATCAAAGAAGAATAACATTGTTTTCTGCAATATTTGCAGCGGAGAATTTTGTATTGCAGTTGGGGACAGAGCAGCTATTACGAAACACTTGACCACCAAGAAAAATAAGCAATCATCAGATGCATCTGCTTCCAGTTGTAAAGTAACAAGTTTTTTTAAAACTTCAAAGTATTCTGAAGACGAAAAACAGTTAACTGCAATGGAGGGAACATTTGCATTCCATACCATACCATAATTCACAATCAAAGTTTTCGTAGTATGGATTGTACAACTAAATTATTGAAAAAGTTTCACGATGCTAAATTTTCATGCTCCAGGACAAAATACGAGGCTATTATTAAATCAGTATTTAAAAATTACTGTGACAAAATACTTACACAGAAGACTTGGAAACTGCAGCATTTGTATGATGCATCCAATCATAATGAAACTAAATTGTATCCAATACTAGTAAGATATTTTAATGTTACCAAGGGCATTCAAGTAAAAATTTTAAATTTAGAATCCATTGAGGGTGAAACTGCTGAAATTTTGTCAAACCAGCTATACAAAGTAATAAATGAAAACAATTTGAAATCCAGAGTTGTTGCACTAACAGCTGATAATAAAAACACAAATTTTGGTGGGCAAAGACGCAAAGGGATGAATAATGTGTATGTAAAATTACAAGATTTACTCCAAAAGAAAATACTAGGAATAGGTTGTAATGCACACATTTTATCAAATGCAATCAACATGGCGTCATGTGCTATGCCAATTGATGTAGAAGTAATAATAACTACAATTTATTTGTATTTTAGTTGTTTTACTGTTCGTTTGGCTACTTTAAAACAGTTTTGTGAAGAAGCGAATGTTCAATACAAAAAACTTATAGGATATTCAAAAGTTAGATGGCTTGCTCTAACACCTGCTATAGAGCATGTTCTACAATTATTTGAGCCTCTCTGTTCATATTTTTTAAGTTTAGAGAAATGTCCTAAAATCCTGGAATCGTTTTTCAATAATGAAATATCTGAGATATTAATGTATTTTGTACATAATCAAGCATCTATTTTTCACAAAACGATTCAAAAGGTTAAAGGTGAACACATTTCAGCTACAGAAGTTAGTCTTATTTTGAATGACTTTATCCTTCAATATAAAACTCGATTTGAAGAAAAATTTCTTCCTTTAGTTATAAAAAGAAAATTGTTAGACTTAGAGGAATCAAATCCGGGTATAACAGAAAAGTTTATCAAAGAAGTGCAGAATTTTTACCAAACATGTTTTCAATATATTGAAAAATGGTCTGAAACAAACATCACAGAAAAATAACAGTTTTCAATGGTGTTTTTTGACTTCATTGCAAGATATTGGACAGATATTGAATCTTGTGTTGAGTTTTTATCCAAAGAAATGCCAGACATTAAAATAGACGACAATTGTTTCTTTGAAGAAATTAGAAGACTGAATGTATTTTTAAATTCTGAAAAATTAATACAATGGGAAAATAAACACGTTGAAATTGATAAAAGATGGGTGGAAATATTCAGCCATTTCAAAAATGAATATATTCCATGTGAAAATTTATTTATTCTTGTTCAATTTACGTTGTGCTGCCCTGGAACTAATGCAGCAGTTGAAAGGGTTTTTTCAATTGCTAATGATTTTTGGAAAAGTGAGAAATCGAGATTGAATGTTGATACTCTAGCTGCAACACTTGCCGTAAAATTCAATATGAAGGATATTTCTTGTTCAGATATTTCCAATATATTGTTAGAAGATGATACATTGACAAAAAATATTCATTCAATGGAAAAGTACTCATTTAAATAATAATTAATAGGCATGTAAACATAATTACAATATAAAATGTTATTGTTACAAATGTTTTTATTATGCATTTATCATAATGTATTCTGTAATTATTGTTGCAATGAATAAAAAGTTTCTTTTATTTACGATATTTTTTCTTCAATTTATTTGTGTCCTCCTTTTCATTGTAAAAAAGTTGGTCACCTTAGTTTAACCAATAAGAGACACACTGCATGCATTCATCCAAAGAAAACTTTTTAGACAAGGAAAGAAGATAAAACTGCATAGTTTTCCACTATTACCTTTAGTTATCGAATAGTTTGTAGGCTGAGAAAAATGGCACATGCAAAGTTGAATTTCAGCCCTGACTACCCCAATCTTCTTCTTGATAACACCAAATAGTAATTTCATTCATTCCCAGTTCAAACCTAACACATAATTAAATGTATAAACGTACTCTTCCTTCTTCCCCTTTAAGCATTATCCCATCATAACTTTGGAGTGTATATCACTTTGTCATCCTTCATTTGGGAGATGAAGTCAGGTGACCTGTAGCTCCAACCAGAGATCTGTTTAATATTGGGAGAGTAGGCACCCAACCACTCTGTCACTAATTAGCTTCTACTGCAACCATTTATCTTTGCTTGTGTGGCCTTCCTAGTAAAATGTTGCTTTCTGAATTGCTTTTTTATCTACTACTTGGTCCCTGTCTAGTTTTGGAACTAACTATTCTCACTTTTCTAGCCAGCCAGAGGAGCAGAGAGAAGACTTCCATTATGTTATCTGGGCAAGAAGGAGGACTTTATTAAAATATTCCCACCAACACTCAGTGGTGGGATTCAAATATGTGAACAACCGGTTCTCTGTGTGGATGCAGCTTCTGGAAGTCCATTCTTGGCCTGGGCAACAAAAAATTAGCTACCGGTTCTGCCAAAGTGGTGTGAACTGGCTGAATCCCACCACTGCCTACACTGACAAGGCAAGCTACTTGTATATAAACAGAAAGCAAGTCCCACTCCCTTCTAGCAGTGATGATGCTACCTAGTTGGGTAATGAAACAGCTGCAAGGAAATAACCAAGCTCAGAAAGCCCTAAGGACCCCATAATTCTAGATTAACTAAATAATTAACTAATTCACTAACATGATAAAAGCATTAATATAAAAGATGTATTTGCACAAGTAAAAATATTCTGAAATGGCATGAGAATCTTTACCTTCAGATATAGTGCTCCAACGTTTCTCTATTGTGGAAAATAATAAGCGGTATTGAACTGAGCTTCTGCTACTCATTTTCAATTTTCCCTGTATTTCAATTTCAATCACTTTCTTTTTCCATAAAAGAAGAGCGATGACAGCTAGCAGCTAGTCAACCTTAATCTTGCAGGTTCATTCTCCTCCATAGATTCTAGTTCTACTGTTGTGCCTTCCTCCTTTCTCCCTATTTTTGTTCGACTGTCTTTCCATACCTTTCCTTATTTCAGATTATTTTAACTAAAGAGATTCCCAAAGGGAGATGACAGGATCAGCAGACAAACCATCCTATAAAATTCAGGTGATGTCCTGAAGTCAGACAGGTCATATTCAGTGCATCAGTACCCTGATTGGGGGATGCCTAGCTGTTGATCAAGGAGGGCTGTAGGGATCAGCAGCACCAATCATTTCGTTGGTAGGATTTAATTTAACACAGCCACAAACTGAGAATTTTATATTTGTCCCAAAATACATCCTAACTAAAGGATTCCTGCCCTGCTTACTTACAGCACTTGTGCGTCTCCACTCAATATATATTATACTGTATATATGTGTTCATTTCCTAATTAATAAAATATCAGCAAGTGGTAGCTCTTGACTTTATCTGCATCCAGAAGCAAGCAGGGTGGGGCTGGTAAGGTGCCTGGCTGGGGAAATCAAGGAAAACCAGGGCTGCATCCTACATTGATGAAGTAAAAGGCATCGTGGAAGAAGGCAGGGCCGACATATTTCTGTGACAGGGAAATTTTCAAGATATATTCCCAGGGTCACCACTTTATTCCAAGGGGCTCACGCGTGGCAGGCGATCTACTAAAAGTCCAGCTTTACTAGTTAAGCCGCGCTAAGTTCGGCGGTACAGAAAAGGAAGGGCCTGCTCATTACAAAGAGTTCCTGCCACTAGGTAGCGCTGCTAGGGCGCCATTTGGACTTAAGGCTGCTTCGGAGCCGCGCCGCGGCGCGTCGACGGATAAGCCTAGACTACGCGCAACTGGTGGCGGGATCCTCCTCCTCCGAGAGGGGTCCTTCCCACCTCGCATGCCGGAGGCAGAAGCAGCAGTGGCTTTTTCCGTCCAAGCACCAAGGCCGAGAGGACGAAGTTGGGAGCAGCAGACCTCTGGGGGCAACGGCGCTACCGCCGCCGCCGCTGCTGCTGCGAAACATGCGGGCGTCTCCCCAGTTGCCTGGCTGTGGGCGCCAGACGAAAGGCGGGCAGCAGCCGAAGCGGCGCGTGTGAGCGAGCGGGGAGCTCCTCTCCTCTCACAAGGATGCTGGGGGACGATGCCTCGTGGCAGGGAGGACGAGATTTGCCGGAAAGCGCTGAAACTGCTGGTCGAGCTCTGCTCCGAGGGGACGGTCGAGAACGACAGGTGCCTGGAGTTCAACTACTACCTGCGGGACAGCGGCAGACCCCGGCCCGCCGACGCAGGTAAGCGGGCTGATGGAGGGGAGGGACACGAGTGGCTCCCGAGAACTTCCTCGAGGCCAACCAGACCGCTTCAAGAGGACCTTGTTTCAAGTAAGCAGGCGCCCGTGCCGGCTGCGCTGGGCGGAGGGGCGCGTCTATCCTATCAATTGCCCGAAGGCTGCCCATTGGATCCAGGCGAGCGCGGAAATTCGGGGCGTCGAGGTAGCGCGTGCCCGGCCAACGCGTCTCCCTTCCTTCTCCCCCCCCCCCGCCCCTGTTGACTTCAGGTTGGCGTTTACTCCCTGGTGGTGTTTGGAGGTGGGGGCCTGGCTCTAAAGAGCAAAACGACCCTTTCGTTTGTTCTCGGCATGTTCTTCCAACACGTTACATTGCATGTTATTCCAAGGCGTTTTGATCCAAGCCGTCTTTACATTTTAATATAATTTAACGGTTTAACCAGACGTGTCTTTACTCCAAGCCGAAGTCCCACAGAGTTTAGTGGAAGGCACTCTCGGGTGGGTTTCGATCAGTGTGAGGAGACGGCTGAGCTATTTTTACATCCCGTCGGGTTTTCCGACGCCGATGCAGTACTTGGAATTAGGTATATAGGAAGAAAGGCAGCAACCCTTCTCCAACAATTGTTAATAACAGGAAATTAGGCTGATGCTGTGTTCTTCTGCCTGAAGCCATTAACTCTGCACACAACTCTTCCTGAAACTTTACTGCATAAACTTCCAGGGCAATTCAAAATTTCCTGAACTATTTATCTCATATAAACACCTCCACCCACATCATACATATCAATAAAAATCACAGTAATAAAAAGACAGGTAAAAGAAGCATTAAGTCTCCTACTATAATTTAAGCAATTGGGGAAATGTTATGCATTTTCACTTGATTCTTTTTAAGATCAAACTGGTCATGACAGTAACTGGAAACAAATCTTGTTTTTCTTACAAACCTGTTTCCAGCTGGATTGGACTAGTTGCTCTTTGAGTGAGTAGGAGCTAAATTCATTAACAGTGGTAATAAGTTGTAGCTAGACTGAATATATTTGAAACCAGCCAGCTAACTTTGGTAAACTCAATTAGCAAGAATCAAGGGATGGAAAGTACATACGGTATACCAAATAGTTAGAATGGTAATGTTTATTTTCCTTCCTAGAATGACTCTTAGTTGTAATAATTCCTTGGAAGCAAATGTGATTAAAGAAGTCTGTTTTAAAATAAATGCAAATGTGTAGCGTGAAGGAGTTTAAATTGTTTTGTTTTAGTAAAGTCCATATTTGGTCCATTATGTCACTTTTATCTGCAAGTATGTTTGTTGCATCATATTTAATTTCTAACAGATTAGCCTAACAATTTTAGTTTATCTTTTGGATAATGTATTCTTGGACATTTTTGTCTTTAAATATTACTTTGGGTTGCATCATTGTTGCTGCTCTATTTTCTAAAAGAATGTTAATTATTATTTTGCCCCGAAGTACCCTAAATATTAGGATATACCCTATTAAAAATTCAGAGTTCCTCTAATACATTTACAACTGTATTTTATCAAGGGAATATTTTCCAGATTACTAATCAATGGTCTAATGTACATTTTTAAGTTGGAATCGTAAGAGTTTTATCCAGTTCACATCCAGCCTCTAAAATCTACACATGGATAGTTCTTCCTCATTAGTTACACTGCAGATACAGAAGATGGCTAGCCTAGTGTAGGTCATGTAGATAGCTACTGAAACACAAAAAAATTCTCTCATGCCTGTACGCCAAGCCTTCTTAAATCTATCTCTTGCATACCCAATGCTATTTACATTCTTTTTTAAAATAGTAATGTTATTAAAAATCACAATGTCAAAGAAAAAACCTAAAACAAACTAAAAGAATAAAAAGAAAAATAGAATGAAAAATAGAAAAGAAAAATAATATAGTAAAACATATATTTATAAGTGAAGTCTTACAGAGGCAGACACTCCTAAAATTAGCTTCTGGGTATATTTTTCAAAAATATCCTTTAATATATCAAATATTAAAATATTTTCTTCATTCTGTATTAGTAAGACAAATTTAAGAGTTCTTCTTTAATTGTCATCTTTAGTTCCTTCTGGTTCCCTATAGCACTTAATTTTTAAAGTCTCAACCTATCATTCTTTTAAAGAATTCAAAACAAAGGATTTTCCCACAGAAAGGACTCTTAGAATTAATTCCAAAATTTTGTTTCAAATTCATATGGATCCTTAACCCATTTATAACTTTCCAAAATGTAGGTCCTTAAACTTGTACTTAAAAATATTTTTTTTCTGAAGCATTGAAGTGTGCTGTAGTAAGGAGTTGTGTTCCCAGGAAGAAGAGGGTATATTACAGAGGTGTAAGAGGCAACTCAGTCCAGATGTTATGTTTGAAAAAAAGAGGGTGAAGACATCCCCTTCCTAATAGTTCACAGAGTATATTGTAGATACAGAAAGTAGAGTGTTCAATCTGGCAAGATTTTGTCTATAGGTATGGAGACAATAAAGAACTCAACTTGGAAGAATCATCACGTGTCCTTCTTGGATTTGGGCATGCCATAAAGAAAACTCATCGAGCGTTTTCAGATTTGTCAGCCCAAAGATTCCTAATAGCTAAAAAGCAATTTCCGAAAGTGATTAGGAAAGGAAGAAAAAGAAGGAATATAAAGTTGGCTTAGTTGATTAAGATTAAATATTTAGGATTTTTTTTCTTAATGGGGTTTTTCTTGACCATGAGTGAATGATGGGACTTTAAAGATTTATTTATAGATAAGATATGAAAAGGAGTTTTTTTTCTTCTATTCTCAGAGAAGTTGTTAAGCTAAGGTGTTAACTTTACAATCCTTAATTATTTCTTTAAGATTAATATATATGTGTGAAGGAGTTTCTGAGACAAAGAGAAAATGATGAGAAATCAACTTGTGGGACATTATTTGAAAGGATTAATGATCAAGATTCTTGATATGTTGTTTTTTTCTGGTAGCTGCTAATGGATTTTGTTTACTAGTTTTGAATGATGAGGCTTTAAAGATTAATTTATAGATAAGAAATAAAATGAAGAAGGTTTTTTTTCTTGTTTACAGGAAATAATAAGTTACTGTGTTAAAAGGAAAGGAATATAAAACCAATTTATTTGATTAAAGTTAAATATGTTTTTTCTGGTAACATATGTGTATGTGAACTCAGTGTCCTTAAAAGTGCCAATTATGGCTTGAGCAAGATAGCTATTGCTTTACTCCCAGAGCTCTAAACCTCCATAAGGAGCAACTTATGGGTGATCTCAAGCCAGTCAGAATCAAACTCCTGGCAGTGAACAGTGAATTAGCCTGCAATATTGCATTCTAACCACTGTGTACCATGGCTCTTTTAACTGGAATGATTACTAGGAAACATATATCTTTGAACTCAGTGGGTGTTCCAATCTGCTATATATCTTTGATTGCTTGAGTCTATGCTCTATAGCAGTGGTTCTCAACCTTTTTAATGCCGCGACCCCCAACCAGTCGTAAGTCGAGGACTACTCAACCAGTCGTAAGTCGAGGACTACTCAACTGGTGCAGCACCGTTTGCAGAATGGAACCTTTGGCGGGCTCAGCAGGGCAGAGACAGCCTGGACAATTCCTATTGGCTTTTGAAAGCCAATAGAATTAGACTCTATTCAAGAGGGAGTAGCACAGCTAAGGAAAAGGGGAAAAAATGGCGGACTGTGTTGTTTGGCGATCCACGTGAAATGGTCGTTCGACCCAAATGGGGTCCCGACCCACAGGTTGAGAACCACTGCTCTAGAGAGCAAGATTAAACCAAAGTTAGCAACAAAGAAAGGAATCTCTCCTATAATTTGAATGTTGTTGTATTTTTAAAGTAGGGCCTGTAAAAATATTTATAGTTTACTTGCAAATCTGTAGCACATAATTTCTACTACTTCTACTACATGAATTGCTATATGCATATCCAGGGATTTACCCTGGTAGAAACCTAAGGGTTACCAGTGAAGAATGATCAGGTTTACAGTTTGAAAGATAGAGTAAGTGAAAATTCAAATTATCTTCTATTTTCTTCTTTATCCCTTTTGCATCTGATGAAAAACTCAACTCATGAAAGTTCATGTGATTTAATAAAGTTTGTTGCTCTAGAAAGGTGTTACTAGACTCCTCGTGTGATATCCTTTCCTTCTTTTGAGTAGCCTTTCTACCTTGGCATGCCCTGGTCATTGTCTTCATTAGTCTCTTTCAGGCAGTCTTGTGTATACTCCATCCTGTTTTCTTTTCAGCCTAAGTCAGCTTGTGTAGCCATTGAGCATGGTCTATCTTTTGTTTCACTATTGTCTATTAACTTCTGAAAAACATATGTCAATGTAAAGATTTCCTCAAACTCGTTGATGTTTTTAGTTAGTTGATGATTTTCATTTTGGTTATGCATCAATCATTAGTGGGCCTGGAATACAAGCAAAAATTGGAAACAAATTATTGGATGGATAGGAGAATCTTCAGAGATACTTTTCACAGCTTCTGCTCTTTGGGCTGCTTAACTGTGGTCACTAGGACAGCAGAATCTGCATTAGAATTCAAAGTGATCCTTTTGAATTACATGGAAGCTTCCACCAGAACGCACAAAGTTCCATATTGTCTTGGGTCTTTAGTTACATTATTCACATTGTGATTTAATAAATATTTTCTGTATATTGATAGTGCTTCAAAATGTGAAGAAAGAATACACCAGTGGACTGATTAGTCAATGTAACCTTGCAAATCCACAAATGATATTAGCCAACAATGATCTCCTGTGACCATGTATCTCACCTGTATTAGCCATCTGAGGCAAAGTAACAGCAAAACATAGAAACAGTTGTATCCATTTTCAAAAGATTTCTTTGCCTGGGCATCAGGATGCTATAGTTATCCAGTCCTGCAGATACAGTATATGCAAATATGCTCTAGTTGGAGAGAACCATATTAATACTTCAAGTAAACAGAAGGTTAATTAAGTCAAAGGGGATATATGTGTGTGTGTGTGT